CCGAGACCCCGAGGCTTGGACGAGAAAGGGCCAGGAGGAAACCAGCGTCTGGGTGGGGCGAGAGCGCCCTTGGCGCCCGTCGTACCTGGAGTTCCTGAGGGGCAGATTGTGGAAAGGGGGAGTTTTCTGTCAGGCCCAGGTTGGCCGATCTGGGAACACACAGAAGTAGCAGCTGATCTTGTGCCTTTTCATGTTTCTCGCTAGGAAATTTGATTTCTTTTTCCTCCATGGCGCTCACAGAAGTGGAAGATACATGCCTTACATACAGCTAGAAGGGGAAAGCTGCTCTCAGGCTGATGGGTGCTTGAGCCCCTGAGGGGTTCGTACTGTTCATTTAGGAGCTCAGGGCTGCGTTCTAGACAGAACCGAAATACCTTCTCGCGTTACCATTCTCATGGTGGGGGTGTTGTGTCATATATAAAACAACCCTTCAGAGAGCCTAGGCACTCCAAAAGGCCTTTTTAGAGTTTACAATCATGCGCTGTCCTTTTGCAGGTTAAGCAAGAGGCAGTAGAGGGTGCTGTGATTGCACACACAGAAATGAAACTGCCTGAAGAACAAGGAAACAAATACCCGAGAAGCGGGTCATCACAACACGGCCATGGTTTATCAAAATCTATCAGTTTATTAAATTAACTAACTCAAAGGAAGCGTAGAGATACAGTGCTGCCTCTTCCTAATTGTGGACGGTATTTTCCTCCTGATGTTTTTGCACTTGTACTATTTGCAGTTGAGGAGGAAAGACGTCAGAAAAAGAAACGTCATTGGTTCTCATAGGATTAAAAGTCTCATAAAAACCGAAGTGAGGAATATATGTTATTTAAGTCTCCTGAAAATGGGCATTCTAAGGGGACATCATCAGTGCTGTGGTCGGAAGTACTGACAGGCCAAAGCCTTGCACAACTGTTAGAAAGGGATGGTCCCTGCCCCTAAAAGCTTACAGTCGGTGTCCACAACAAGTGAAGGCAGGTGGATGCGAGGAGTCATTGCTGACCGGTACTTCTTCTACCCCTGCTGAGTTGTAGGAGCAGCCATAACAAACTCCTAACTACAAGAGGTTGTTTTGCCAGAAATCAGAGCAGGGTTGTGTTTTCAAGAGAGCTCTGATCCAGGACGCTGCAATCGCGGTGCAGGTTTTTGCAGGCAACTTGTGAAAGAAGAGCAGAAATGGAAAAACTAAAACAATTGCAACACACTCCCCCTTGGAAACTACCATGGTCACGGACACTGGAAGGCAGAAGATGTGCGTTTCCACTCAGTGCTTGCCAAAAGAGAAGACGGGTGGTCTCATAGCTGAAACACAGGGACTACAACTCTCACCTGAATTCTGACTCTTGAATTCACCAGAGGAGTCTTGTGTCACCTTGAGCCCGTCTCCTACCACAGCTCTTCCTTCATAAAGGTGGAGGAAGATGCGTAGGTATTCTCTATACCTTTTACTCAACAAAAAGCATCAATGCCTGTTGGGATGAGCACCGTGGAGTTGTTTTCCCCCTTTGCAGATCAATCCCAACCCACTACTAAGGAGCTACCTCTGTTGCTGACATTGTGCCTTCGGTTCGCTGTGGTCAGAGCTGTGCCCACCTTAATGTAGCTGAGGTATCAGCAGCAGTGTAGCTGTACAGAGATATTGGGCATCTACCCACCTGGGTAGGGTCCTTGCAGGAACCGGTAAGACCAAAGCTTCTGGTTCTGCTGTGGGTTCTGCTGTATGCTGGAAGAAGGGACAAAGGGGAAACCACTGTGAAGAACTCCAGAGTCGCATAAAGTTTACATTTGTCAAATCTGTTGTTTTATCAGCAATTTTTCTGAAAATGTATTTGTCTCACTGGTAATAAAAGAAGTGGCTCCACTGAATTGCTGAATTTCTTTCCATTAGAAAGAAGGAGGATACTTTGGGGGGGGGGAGGGGTTGTTAGCTTATCTTCCCGATCTTGAAGTTGTTTTTCAAGCCACAATGTCACAATTTATTTGGGGGAGAAGCCTTCATCACAACTTGCAAATAAGGTGAAAATGGAATATTTTTAACGATCCTTTTCCAAAAAAATGGATGGAGCAGGGGAATGCTGACATTGCGTTACTTTTGCCAAAGGCTGCCAACACTCTGAGGGAATAAGCTATTCAGCTGGCGAAAAAGTGCTGAACAAACACTGAAGGAGCTGAAGGGATACTCCCAATCATGATGTACTTGCTTTTCACTCTATCTCCTGCCCCAGTCTAATGCCTTCCCCTTCACCCCCTGCCCTCAGACAAAAAAAAAAAAAGGGGGGGGGGGGGGGGGGAAGGAAGAAAAAAAAGTCAAGACAGGTTGGATTAAAACAGTAGCAAGAGGAATTGGTGGATCCTGAGGGTTGGCAGGGGTATTAGTGTTTTGTAACCTGAGCTGTCATGTGACTAGGGCCAGGCAATAAAAATAAGTCTCCTACCAGCCCTCCTGTTTGCTCAACTTTATTATATGGTGTCAGTAGAGAACTACTTTTTTTTGGCAAAAATTTAGCAAATGAAGCCACCTGAATCATTAAATCCTGAAGGAAATCTGGCAGAGAACTGGAGGAGGTTGTTGCTGCGCTTCCAAGTTTTCCTGGAAGCAAGCATGTACTGAAGAGAAATGGAGAAGGTGAAACCTTCTCCTCTCCTAAATGTGTTGGGAGGGGCAGGAAGCAGAAAAACAAAGTTATTAGAAGTAAATTAAATTCTTGTTCGACCTTAGTGGAGGTTGGCAAAGATCTATTTGAATTCGCTAGAAAAGATTACTTCTCGTCACACACGCGTTCAGCTGCTGCACACCACAGCGAGCAGAAACGCAACAGCGTACTGTAAATTACAGTTTGTTCAGCACAGTGCTCAAGATGAGTTAATAACAGATAATGGCCCACAACTCACAAGTGGATCATTTTGGTGATTCTCTTTGATCTGTAAGTTCTGTAGGATCTGTAAGATCTGTAAGCATACCACGTCAAAGTATAGCTATGCACGGGAAGGAGTCAGTGTTACAGCAAAACCCCAGTAACAGCCTCCCCCTCCACCTGCCCCCCTGCCTTTACAAATCTATCATTAGCACCATAAAAACAGAGATGCACACCTCACTGTCTTACCGGCCTCACCAGATCTGAGATTAATGGGCAAAGGAAAAGCCTTTGACAGCCAACATTTAACAGCGGCTGGCTGGGCAGAAAGACGACGAACCCTGGAATAGCTACCAAAACATCCCCAAGCTCTGTGCCAGGGAATTAAACAAGCAAAGTTCTAACTACAGCAGTGAACAGTTACTCTTTTTTTCTAGTGGCAGGTAGATTTCCAACACAGCAATTAGCAGGTTACACAGGCACAGGTGAACGTCAGTCCCCAGATCAGGTCTTAACCTTCTTTATAAGTGTCCCTTGTGAAAAGAAATGAAGGACGTGTGACAGAATGATGGATCAGAGAACCGTGGAACAAGGTAGATGCATGTGTACAAAGTGGTATTCTTTGCCTGATCAGCTGGTAACCATGAAAGAGAGAGGTATTCTGAATACCTTATAGATTCAGACAGAGAACTAAACAAGGCCTTTTAGAAAGATCTTTCCGAGATCAGGATATGTCACCAGAAAGCTGCTGAGCCCCTGGTGAGAAGGACAACTTCCAAAGAGAAGCTCTCCACATGAAACAGGAGGTGTTCTCTCATGTCTTAGGAACCAGTTCATGTACCCTGAGCTCTTTCCTAAACATTTCTCTTCATCTAAGTGAATTCCTCCTATTTTATTTAATATTATGTTTTATTCACACAAAATGAGTTTCAAAGATAGGTTAAGTGTAACCTTGAGTTCAACAGGCACTGACTTTCAGTGTGTAATAGCAACGTTAATGGTGATTTATTATTTTGTGAGGGAGACCAGGAAATAGATAGAGATACGTTTCTTAAAACTCTAATGCACCACATTACTATTGTAGTGAAAACCAAAGCCTATCTGGAGTGAGACACAAAAAGATTGTTTGTTGGAAAAGGTCTTCATGGTTTTGAAGTACCGTCCAGATTTCAGAAAGCTTCTCTGTCAGGGAAGATAAGGGATGTATATTTACCGTATAGTTAAGTGTCTCACACGTGCCTAAAATGGGTTTGTGACAAACCCCTGTCTCACAAAAAAAACTGGGGACAAAAAGGCCGAAAGAAAGGCAGCCCAGATGCTGAATGGGTCATCTGTACAGCCGATGGTGCCGCCTGTGCTCTCTGGGGAAAGCCTGCGGCACAGCTCACCCTGGGGACGAGGCAGCAGGGAGGGCACATCCCTGCAGTGACATGGACGCTATGACTCCATGGAAAGTGCCATGGTGCACAACACACCTCTGGGAATGGTGAAATTAAAAGAAGCAATTCAGTTAACTCCCCCAGTGTGAAGAAGGGCCTAGGGAGAAGCAGCAGTATGTTGCCAGGTGTGTTTACCTTTGAAGGACATGGCAAACAAAACAGAGTCTCACAGACCTCCAAAACCAATGCAAAACACTGCAGTAAAATGGTCGGGGGGGGGGGGAAAGAGGGAGAGATGCAGTATGGGCATCTACCCTGTGTTTTGAAGGTACATTTGTCCGGATAACTTTCAGTTGCGGGCAGAGCAGAGGGAAGTGTAAGAACAGCCTGTTCTGGAGGAGCGCACCTGTGAGGTGGCACAGCTGAGCTGTCCTGTCCCCGCTGCTGCTCTCCTCTGCAGCCTCACCAGCTCTCAGTCGGTGGCTGCACATCTTCAGAATGACTCAACAACAGCATCGGGTTTGAGTCCAGATAAATGAGACACTCATATAGAAACAAAAATGTAAAACCCGCCTGGATGATGTCCTGTGCAACCTGCTCTAGGTGACCCTGCTTTAGCAGGGGGGTTGGACTGGATGATCTCTGGACATCCCTTCCAACCCCTGCCAGTCTGTGATTCTGTGTATTAGAATGGGCTTGTGTCCTTACAACACTGAGATGTATACTCTCGTTGAACTCCCAGTTTATCTTCCCCATGGCCAAAATTATAATACCTTGGTGGTTACACCTCATATTATCTGCTACTCTTAAAGCTAATGTATTTTAAATTTTTAGGGATGTGAGATTAATTTTCAGTGTACACATCACTTATATTTTCTGAGGGTTACAGGGCTACTCAAATGACAGACCTTGGTCTGTGTTTGAACCAGGAGTCAGTTTTACAAGGCGTTCAGACATGTCCCCTCCATTTTGGGGTATGAACTTTCACACAAGGGACTCAAAGA